AGTCAGCACCCCCTGTCATAGAAATGTAGCAATATAAGAGAAGCAGTATGATTAAGGAAGTCTACAGCAGGAATCAAAGGTTGTATTTTTGCATTTTTTGTTTTGTTTTGCTCATAAAATATGGTAACAGGTTGGGAGCTTTTTGGTTTCAAATCAGCGCTTCATGCTTAAGTGGATTACTAGCAGTATCTTCTCCATATATCATCAGGGCAATAAAGAATAACTCATGACAAGGCAGGCGCTTCCAGTAAAAGACAAGAATGACTTGGGTGCATTGTGAGGCATGAAGCTTAAATCTGGGTGTTATCTATATTTCATCTGTACACTTTTGAGCTTATACAACTGCCAGACACTTTGTTTCAGAGGCAAAAGGTTGGCACTTTTTACAAAACTCATTAAACCATGAGAAAAAAATTCTCTTTAGAGAAATACCAATTTCAGACCACTAAAACCAAGCTTATTTTCTACTCGGGTTTTAAATTGTTTTCTATGTTATTCATATTAATTCAATACAAATAGAAAATGTCCTGTTGAGGCCTGTTAGAGATTTAGAGACTGATCCTTTCCTGTTGTAAATTGTGATAGCTCCATTGAAGCCAATGTGGTTATGAAAATTTACTCTCACTGAAGAACTGACCCCATCAGTTCTTCAAATGTGTTTTATGAAAAAAGATGCATCAGCCCCAATTCTATTGATAAATTATAGGGAAGTTCATACAAAGCCTCCACAGGTCAGAGAGAAGCAAGGTTTTTGAAAGACATGTAGAGGTTTTTTTTTAAGCTCATTATGAATCTCGTGACAAAAGCCATCCTTCTCTGGACAAGAGGTGTGAAGGTGCTTTAGTTGAAACTAGTACTACATGTACTATTTCATTTTTTTATACCAGGCATTTCTCACCTGTAAAGTTTTGAATGGAAGACCAGAATAACTTTATTGAAATGTTCTCAGAACATTGCCATAGAAAGCCAGGAGAATTATGGGAAGATACATTCAAGAAAAAGCTACATGCAACAGTAACAGAAGATTGCTTCTCTGCTGCTAAAAGGTTTAAGCCAAGTTTTCTAAAAAGATGGGAAGTGTGGGCCAGCAAGATAATCTTGGACTTAGGAGACCAGGGTTAAATTACTGTCTCTACCATGGACTGGTTATGTCATGTGGAGCAAGTGACTCACAATCTCTATGCCTCTATTCTCCATCTGTAGAATTGGAATAATTCGACAGATTATCTCTAAGGATAAATACATTAAAGACTGAGGTGCTTGGGTACTATAGTGGTCAGGGTTGTATAAGTGCATAAGACAGATAGGCAAACCGAGATTCTAAAATCCATACTGAAATATATGAATAAGAGGCATGATGCTAAGTATCCATTGTAAATCCAATTTAAATTTAACTACTCATTTTTTTAAAAATCTTGGCCTTAGATTAATCCAGTTGAAATCAACAAGACACTGTTTATAGTGGGATTGACGGAAGGTAGTTTAGGAAAATAAATTGTACTTTACTTTTTTCCAGAATCTCTAAAAACAAGGGTAAATTCTGATTAGACATCAGGAGGTGCAACTTCACTGTCAGGGTGGCTAGGATCTGGAACCAACTTCCAAGAGAAGTGGTGCTGGCTCCTACCCTGGGGGTCTTTAAGAAAAGGCTTGACAATCACCTTGCTGGGGTCATTTGACCCCGGTACTCTTTCCTGCCATGGCAGGGGGGCGGACTTGATGATCTGCTCAGGTCCCTTCCGACCCTACAAACTACGAAACTATGATAATCTTTGTGAAACATGAAAGCAACATTTATATTTTAGAGAGGATGAGGAGAGGAAGATATCTGCCATTGAAGAATGTAGTGGAACTTGCCAAGAGCACTTTGGGGATTTTATCTATAATTTTCCAGTTACACAAATGAAAAGGAGGGTTACTGGTGTTTATAACCTCATGGACCAACATAATAAATGTATAAACTAACATTCTATTTCCAATTTTAATTCAATTAAACCAATATTTGACTGGTTAATGTGAACTCCATGCTATATAGAAGGGACAGCAAAACACTTGCTGTGTACTGATGTACTATTTTAGCTACACTTCAGTTGTGGGTGTCAGAAGCTGACAACCTAAACATATGGGTATGTTACATCTATTTAAATATTAGAATTTTCCTTTCTTCCTCCTTCTGCTATTTTTTCGTTCATTTATTTTTTTTCCCTTGGTGGCCTCTCTTTGGGTCCCTTTTTACAGATTCTGAGATGTAAAATAGGAGTCTAGTAACATCCTAATCTGAGGGTGGGATGGACTTTTCAGACCAATCGCACTCAAGCCAGTTTGAATTTAGGCATGAAGAGTTTTCTTATCCCCCACTAACCAAAATATACATGAATAAAAATTTGATATGTGGAAGTTTGCACTTCCCTTTCTCCAAATGTGGGTGCACACATCTTGTTGCATAGAGACAGAGCTGTTCTGCCAGTGTTTTAACAAGATTAACAGACAATTTAATCTTTTGACATAATTCCACTAAGGTGGGGCCAGCTATTTATGCTGTGAAAATCAGCCTGGCACCCTACAACATTAATCTTAAAGATAGAGTAGAACGAAGAGAACAGACCTAGATCATGATCCTGAGCATTCAGTTCTGTTTTTACCCTAGATAGAAGAGCTGAAATGAGTATTGATTTGTGGATATCTGTGTCAGTGAGTATAGAATGGATGCCATCCAGAAGTTGTAGTAGTAGCTGTGTATTGCACTCAAGATAGGGATGAGGCAGGATGGATGAGGAGGTACTGAAGAGGTGCAAATGCATAGCTACTGTGTTTCATGTTGGATTCTTTCAGTATGGCTAAGGAATAAAACTCTGAGAATAGCTACACGTATTGACTTTTATCCCCTAAATTGGAATAGATTTTCAAATATGTGTTTAACCATTTGGTTATTGTCCCGCTATAAGATACCCAACCTACAGTGTAACCATTTAGTTATTGTCCCTCTACAAGTTACCCAACCTATAGTGTAACCATTTGGTTATTGTCCCTCCTACTTAACCTATTGTATTTGGTAGATGTACTATTCAGTTCAAAAGAACATCCTGATGTGCCTGGTACACCTGACAGCAGTAGAGGAGCATCCTGCTTTTTTCACAGTGGTGTATTTTAAGCTTTCCTATTCAAAGTGATGTGGCCTTCTCCCATGGTACTTCATCCTGGTTTTTGATGGGAGTCAAATGTGCGAATAGGAAAAGAGAGAAAGGATATATGGGACTGATCATATCATGAAGCCCAGGACAATTTGTATATTTGATAGAGTTCTGCTGTTATAAATAGTCTAGGATTTTAGAGATTCATGTATTTTCTTAGGCTAGGTACAGACATTCAAAACCCCCGACATGGAATCTACCGAAAGTTACATGGTATCTTATGAGTAGCTTAATTTATTGGTAGCGAACAGACCACACAGTTGCCCTTTCCTGGGGGTGGCAAAACTTGAACTGGATTCCATTATTTTTACACCAGTCTATGTGTGTCGAACTTCTGTTCTGTTACAGGTATAGCCCAGTCTCTGATTATATATACCTATAAAAATCTAATGTGTGTACCTGGCCTTAGGATTGTAAAGGACATTTTAACTTGAATTTCTAACATGTTGCAGAGGTTTTGTTGTAGACTGTGGTTTTCAAAGGGGCCTAAGGGGGTTAGGCACTCAAATTCCATAGATAGTTGTAAGACAATGTATTAAGAACACTTGCAGATATGGTGGAAAATCTAAGGGTTACATCAAATACACCTGGAGTTTTTTTGGATTTCATTGTACAATTTAGCTGGAAAGGGTAAATGAGCCACAGGCTAGGAATACCTGCTATCCTGGAACCTCAGATTCATATCAGGGCAAGGTCTGTTCAGTAATTTACTTTTCTGAAGTAGATAAACTTAGTTGATGCAGTTTATTGTGTACATCCTGCAGCGCTGACCTTGTATATTGGGGAACTGTCTTCTCTGCTGTCTCTGCATAGATATCAAAGATTCAGTGTCATTCATCACCTGAATATAGGTTTGTTCTGATCTCCTTGCTAAAAATTCCCCCCTGTGCACTTCAAGATGTCTGAGAGCTACACAGAAGTAGCAACACAGTGGTTAACTGTCAGAAAGGGGACAGAAAACAGCTACCTATGCCTCAGTCGCCTCAGCTAAAACTGAAAGCTCTTATGTGAAAGAGCTGGGTTTTACCTCAGCAATGTAATATAAGATAAGAAAAGTGCATAAAAAATCATGGTTCCTGGCAATGGACTAGTATGTGAGAGCAAAAATAGTCACAAAGTCAGTGGGTAATATCGGTGTCTTATACAGGTGGACTATTTTGTATTTCTTAAGTGAAGTGAGATGGTTCTGTATGTCCGGCTGAAAAGGATTGAAAAGTTGATCAGTAATTTATGCTTTATGTTGGCTATACCGCTTCTGTTACATGAAAATCAGCTTTTTCTCCTCTTAGGTAGTCCTAGCTATCTTCTAAATTCTGCACTGGGGAGGGTGAGAGCCGGCAGTCTGATGCAGGTGTGATTCTCCTGTTCTACTTTCTGCGTTTATGTTTCTTTCGCCTGCCGGAGACGTATTCTTTCCAGGCAAATCACCCTTTAAACTTTTCATTTTTCCCTCATTTGAGTTACACCTTCAGGTGTGGGTGTCAGAAGCTACACTAGTATTTCCCCCCCCCCCCCCCCGCATTTAACAAAGCCAGGTTGTAAAAGAGGTGGGCCAACTGTACAATGGCAGATTATGCAGATCTTCCAGGAGCATCTAATCAATCACTGTGGTGTGAGAGGAATGCAGCTGATCTCTGAATTAGCTTCTATTGGAATGTATTCATGTGTAACATCCCACTGTCTGAATGACATCACAACAGCTTCTAGTCCTTGAAAGTCTTGAGGTTGATTAGCTGAAGGAATTGGCTGTTTCTGCCAATCATAATCCTGCAAAGACGCCGTTATAGTTCCGTAGATATGAGAGAAAGGGAGAGGGAGACTGACTACAGCTAAACAAGAAGCACAGCAGCACAGCATTAGCAGCAGCAGTAGTAGCAGGAGCAGCTGGTATTCGGGTGATTAAATAGTTCTCATAGCCTTTTTGCTGTACTCTGACTGCTCCCTGGTGTAATTCCCATGTCCAAGGAGGAAGCTGCATTTTAACGGTGTGCTGAACAGAGGTTTGAATCATTCCAGCTGGCTGCTTGTTTTGAAAAGGACAGTGTGTGTCTAAATAAAATGTGACTGTGCTGGAAGAGTTCAGTTACTAGGGGCTGGAGCAACCAGAGTCTTCCTGGGATACTGTTCGGGCAGCTGGTATGAATTGAAAACTCTTTCCTAGTTTACCTGGAGCCAAGTGAAGAGATTTGTATAGTGGATGTCTCATTCCCTTATGCTAGACAAACTCAAGTGAAAGGACTAGAGGAATTTCTTCTTTAGGTAAGCTGTTATTCAGTTTGTGCACATACTGGTTCATGAACCTATAGCTTTCTGTGTATGTCCATACATTATACACATGCAACACATGCATGTGTGTGTGTGTGTAAACTTGAATAAATTTATAGATATGAATCAATGTATACATAATGTATTCATATATGTGATTTGCAAAGTGTATCCAAAGGAGCAAGTTGTATACTGAAAAAATGTTTTATGAAGCTGTCTTTAAGAGATGTGGATTTTTTTCATTTACAGTTTAAGTTTTTATCTGCCCTGCTTATGTGTAAGTGCTGCAAATGTAAATAGCTGTGTGTCCACTGAGTAGCGAATACTTGCCTGTCTGAATGTATAAAAAAGACACAGAACTTGAAATGCTGGAAGTTACGATAGGAAAAGGAATAAGTGACAATCCTCCTGAAGTTGTTCTGAATGCTTTGCTTGTATTGGGTAGCAAACAGTATGCAAAGCTAAGCATAACAAACAAATAAAAAAATGCCAATGTGAATACAATGCATGGTAATATATTAAAACTGTAACATGTAAAGTACTTACTATGGTAACTAATCCAGAAGGAACCCAAGATCTACAGATTTGTTCTGTTACAGTGGTTTGGTATCCAAACAACATCTGTCTGTAGCGTTTAAAACAGCATGAATGTTTATTGTGTGCAAGTACAGATTGTTATAGCTAGGAAGAAAAAAACAAAGAGCTTGAAGAATAAATGTGTAGTGCCATTGAGTTAGAATGTGAACAAGACAATATAACATCTTTATCATTCATCTGACACAGTGGCTCCAAGTCGCTGCTGTTGGGAATAAACACTCAAAGGAGAAATATTCATAGAAATGATTAAGTCTCTGCCTACAAACACTATAACTTAATAGTACCAAAAAAGTCAGTCACTTTGAAGATTTATGTACAGTCTCATATACTCTATATACTCTGATATCTTCATACATTCCTGTATCTTCATTTGACAAGTTTAGTAGTTTATCATACTTCAGTTACTCACAGTTCTGTTTTCCAGTATTTAGTCATAGTGGATAGAACCTTACTTTGAGCTTAGTCCCATTAGAGTCTATTGGACTAGTCATAAAACAAAGTAGTATTAATTGTGCATAGAGGTATCAGAATCTGGCCTCTAAAATATAGCAGGAGATATACATCTCCATGTTAATAATCTATATTTATTGTCTTTTTTTAATGGCAAGTAATTTGGGCCCAGGTTAATAACATCTTTTTTTTTTAGGGCCATAACCATGTGCTTCTCTCATCTTGCCTTTGCATGTCTGTACACTTTCACCCAGGGTATTTTATTATCAGCTTGAGACTTTCAGATGCACTTTCTAAATTGTTTCCTCAAATGCTACTCAAAAGAAAGCTAATTCTAGAGGGGAAAAAAATCAAGACTGCCAAGTTTCACTTAACTCTCAGGAGGTTTTTGGCTTTTAGGTTTCCTCAGAAGTTCATCAATTGAAACAATCTAATCCATTTGATTGGATATCTTTTATAACAAAAGTTTTAAATATTGTGTATTTTGTCCTCTTTCTTAGGATTATAGCCATTTCTTTGATTTGCAAATATATATTAGTGTCTGACAGTTTTTAGAGGGCAAACCAGTCACATCTTGATGCCAACTTGGCACTAGCTGTTTTTTTGGAAGGCTACTGAGTAAGGGTTCTTTATACAGTTAACATGGTTGGAGTGAAACAAAGCCAGGGAATTAGATTTAAATATAAATAGAAAACATGAATCACAGACCAATTGCATATAACTAACTCAGCTTTCTATCCAAATTAAGTGTTAACCTCCACTGCAAATTCTGGTAACTCTCATTAAAACTTTATGGATGTCTAGATAATATGATACCTATTATATAGCTCTGTGTAACAGCATGGATTAGACTTAGTTAATTTGATGGTATTTTGGGAATCATGTAATACTGAGCTGCTCTGGCATTCAACTATCATTCTGTGTGAGTGAAAGATCAAAAATGCCAATAGCAAAGACCATTTATTTCAAACTTTATATTACAGGAATCATCATTTCAGTGGCATAATAAATTCCATTATAAAGAAAACATGTTAAAAGATTACAAGCTCAGGGTAATAAATATCAGAGAAAAGTTACTAGCAAGCAGTGTCCATCAACTGTAAGTTAGGTAAAAGTAAAAAAAAAAAAAACACGATTTGAAGAACATAAAAGTGAGCTGCTAAAATATATTTCTTATTTATTTCATTTTTGTGATTTTGTTTCTCTAGAGACACTAATAGGAAAGTGTATCAACAATTTCTTAACCATAAATATGAGATAAAATAGCCCTCAGAATCTCCTTCAATTAATCAAGTTCTCATGTATATATTATACATACACATGCTTCTGTGATTGCTATATCACCCATTGTAATGTGCATGCTGCTGCTCCTTTTATCAACTGTGGAAAATGCTCCTTTTCATAATGTTAAAATGTATATCTAACTTTTGGGGAAAGTTATTATACAAACTCCTTGTTTGCTTTCTAAACATGTAAAATGATAAATATTTCCAGTATCATTTTGGATAGACTGAAGAAGATTATTCGGACTTCAGCAGAAAGCTATATTTATTTTCCAAAGGTCAGAAAATGAACTAAATGAGAGTTTGGGGTGCTCAGGACCTCCTCACAGGATCAGGTAGTCTGCTTTTACCTTAGCCTGCACACACTGAAGAGCAGAGTCTAATTTGTCTATTTGAAAAGACGTTGACTTTCTTGTTTCTGAATCTAGGAAGCAGTTGTGGTACCTTAGGTAAGAAAGGCAGCACATTAATGACTGGCTAGGATTCAAAACTAGGAGGCTGTGTTTCAGGAAAGTATGTCTTCTGTGCTGGAATTCATTTAAAGTATTATTGAAAAGGGGGGAAAACGCCCTATCCTATATAAGATTTCTTTAAAGTCTCAAAAGCAAGTATTTTTAGGGTAATGTTAGTGGACAAACTGCATAGTCGGGATAAAGTTAAACGAGCTTTCAAATGTAGGCATTCTTCACCCTCACATTTGAAGGGTTGTCTAACTTTATCACAACCATGCAGTCAGGCCAATAAAAGATATCACCCCCCAGAAATCCTTGTCTCTTGTATAATTCCTGGACCAACATGGCTACAACATCACTCCAATACTACCATTTAAAGTCTGAAGAATTCTCATACAGTGATGGTAAACTATTATTTTCCTACTACCAAGATGTCAGTCAAATAAAATGTTTATACAGGAAAACCCCCGCCTAGGATAGCACTTCTCATCAGAAGAAAAAGTTTCATTATTATTAGTGTTTTAATAGTATTTTGACCTACAGGGAGATGGAAGAAAATGAAATTACACAGGCCAATCCAGAACATTTGCTATTGCTGCTGTTAATAAAAATAATGATACTAAGGATATAACAGACTCCTCTAAGGAAACTACTAATAATACTATCTGAATTACTATGCTACTAAATTATATGGTAATAGCAAAATACCATAAAGAACATGTCAATATTTGAGCAAGCAAGTCATTTAGATCAAAAATAGTATGATGTATGAGTGCTTTACTTGGAGAGTGGCAGGGAAATACTTAAATCTCTACACCTCCCCTTGGCTATAGGAAGGTGCACAAGTGCCTGCTTCATGTACATAGATTTGAAGGGCAAGCTGAGGGGAATTAGCTAATTGTCTCTAGGGTACTACAGGAAGGATGAGTCCTGGAAACATAGTGTTGAGCATGCCAGGAAAAGTTAGGGTGAGTGGGTTGCTTCTACACTTTAGAGTTTTGCATTTAACTTGGTTCAGGAAAGCCTGAATTTAGGGGTTGCCATTTGGTTGTTAAACCATTCATAATTCTTTACTTCTTTACATTTGATTCTCAGTTGGTGCATCTACATGTCCACTTTACTGCGGAGTTACGTAATTAGCTCCACAGTAAAGCATCACCATCTACCTGTGCAGCAGCATTAGGCCACAGTAAACTGACTAACTCTGCTCTAGGATAATACTTCCTGGGACAAGTACTACCCTATGGTGGAGTTATTTATTCCACCGCAGTGCATATATAGATGATGGCTGGGGCTGGTTGGGTCACGAGGGTGCTAGCCAGGGTTGTGCCGCCTTGGCTTAACGTGCTGCAGTCCTAGGCACACATGTAAATGCTCCATCTAGAGTTTAACCAGAGTTTATTTAGCTGCCCTAACTGCAGGTGTAGATGCTTCCAGTGTTACTAGGAAATAGACTACAAAGGTATTTAATTCTGCAGACGCACGCAAACATCTTCCTTGTTCTGACCCTATCTAGGAATAAGAGGAGGAGTTTGGTTATAAATATAGCTTCCTCAGGTTAAAATGTCATCAAACCAAAACATACATTTAGCAGTTTGAGGTCTGTATGCATACATTGGCTAATATGTTGTCCTGGATCATAATCTGACCATAGACTGACAAAGTGCACAATTACTTATATTTTTGTATAACTTTATCACTAACTGGGGTGCTGAAATTAGAGAAATGTATTTAGGATGTACTTCTGCTACTTTATAAGCAAGAAAAAAGAACAAGGAATAAAGTATCAGCACAGTAGCAGCACGTGGGGTGGGGAATAGAGGGTATCCTATCGGGGTATAATTATTGTATAACTCCCAGGAGCATGGTAGAAGATGTCTTCCAGGTTGATTTTGCCCCTAAGTGTAGACTTATGGTTTACCACTGGCCATTCTTCAGCTTTACTTACACACATTTGCTCCCAACGATGTGTACTACCCAAAAGTTACTAACATATCCCTTTGAGCACTGCATACAGGGTATCCTCTCCTGAGTTTGCAAGACGTCTCTTGTCCTGGATATGTCTCCACCCATGAGTTTCAACCCCTACTGTGCCAGGCTATCAGTGTAGGGGCTGGCTTTAGAACTTTATATGCAAAAGTTTTTCAGAGCAATTTAAATCCTGCTAGCCAGGAGACAAGTTTCTACTTAAAAATTAAAGCCTGTCAATCAT